AAGCACCTCGGGCCACGTAGTCCTGCCTTCCCTACCAGGATGGAGTGGCAGAACTTTGGAGCAGGCAGCTCTTGGTGTACGCCCAACGAGCAGGATGGGGCAAAGAGCCTTCAGTTCAGTTTTTTGGCTGGTTTCGGTGTTGTTTTTTATCCCCCTGTTTACAGGGAGTGGGGCTGAGACCTGGCAATAGGTGTGAGGAGCACCCTGTGAGAGGGAGAGGTGGGTGGGTTTTGGTCATGGGTGGCTCTCGGAGCTGCACGAGGGGTTGAGGATGCACACTGTGAAAAACCTCATGGTTTTTCAAACCCAGCTAGAAAAAGCCTCCAGGGAGCAAGTGCTCAATTTCAGGACCATAATTCCTAAATGGAGATGACCTTGAATTTGAAAATACCCCTTTCATGCCTTCTTTCCTGGCTGAAGGAGGCAGCCTGTGCGAGGCAGTACCAAGCCATGCATTCCCATCCTACACAGCCCTCTGAAAATGGGAGGTTTTCTGAAACAGGGAGGTTTTCTCTGTTCTGGAAACCTATGGAAGAGATGTCTATGCTTCTAGAGGGGCTTTCTCCCTTTTTTCCTTTTGTCTTTTTTCTTGCTGATAAATTTGGAAATTGCCGTTCCTCTCTCTTCTGTTTGTGTGGGCTGCAAAGGTTGTCTCCTCAACTCATTGTTTGTGCGTCTCGCAAGCTAAATAACAAGTGGTTTGTGTTTGTGTGTATGAATTGGTTCCTGTCCAAGCGGTGGGAGTCATTAAGGGAAAGGGTGTTTAGCGTTCGGGTTTCTGTTTAGTGAAACAAAGACAACATCAGAGTTGACAGAGCCCTGAGTTTGCCGCCAATATACTCCTTCCCTCTCTCATATATACAGCGCTGTCCCACTCGTGAGTGTTTGCAGAGAGTTTTTTAGTGGCCCCTGCTCTTCCCTCTCAGCATTTCACCGTGAAATGATGCTGAAAAAGGGACTGATGCAAATCGATTTTGTAGCTGTGGTTGGCAGTTGCTGGGGTGTAAAAGGAAGAAGGTTGTGGTCCTCCCTTCCCAAGCACCCATCCTTCCTTTGAAGGGAGGTTGGACATCAGGTCCTTTTGTTCCTGATGCCTTCTTCCTTGTGGGAGCTTTGGGTGCTGGAAGATTTGCAGCCCCAGCATCTCTGCCCTCCTCCTGACACTGACGACCCCCACAAAGTTGTCCCTTCTCAGCATGGCATGGGTCTGGCTCCAGCTGGGGTCCTGCATCCCAGGATGACAAGCATTCCCTTGAGTGATGGGGGATGCAGGGATGTGTGATTCCTGCTCTCACGGCAGCCTCTGAGGAGCGTGCAGCCCGGGGAGGACACTGCTGTCACACTGATATTCTCAGAACTGGTGTGTTATTGTGGCTGTGGGTTCGTACCTACGAGACCTCTCATCCTACTCTTTTACCGGAGATGTTTCCTTAGGTTTTTTTTCCCTATTATGTCCTGGCTAGCAATATTGTGCTGGTTTTATTGCCATTAGGCGTTCAGTGGAAACGTGATGTGTGGCCCTTGGCAGCTTTGCCTTGTCCCTGGGCTCCATTAAGCCCCATTAGAGGCCTTCGTTCCTGTGCCAGTAGCAGTTTTGCGGCGGGGTTAAGTGCTGGCCCTGCAGACGGTGGGTTTATGAAAGGGTGTCACTCCTGTGATGTCAGGAATACGAGGCTTGGAAACGCTGGGATTCCTGTTTACCATCTGTTTCCATGGCCTTTCCCTAATAGACCTCTCCTCCTCCAGGATTCAAGGATCTTTAATTAAAACTGTTTGCCTTGCGGTGGGAGGGAGGAAATCCCAAATTGTGGAGGAGATGGTGACATTTCTTGACCTTTTCTGTGTGTACCTCGGAGACAAACACACTCTGGTGAGTGTGCGTGTGCTTATGTTTGTAGGTTTAGTCTTTGGGTGTATTTCCTAACCCGGGCACCCCGGGGGGACGCTGGGCTACGCGTTTCTCTGCAATACTCAGGATAAACTCGCAAACCCTTTGGGGGGAGGGAGGGGACAGTGCGTCAGCTCATCTGATCCACGGGCAGCTGCCTACGAGAAACGAGCTTACTAAATGTTTCCAGAGATGAGAACCCGCATTTCACTCGGCTTGGAAAACGAAGCGTTGCGGTTTTGAGTCGTTTGGGTGAGAGCGGTGCCGCCGACCCGTCCGCCGGAGCAGGAGCTCTTACAGCATCACCCTTCGCCCTGATGGGAGTTTCGGGTGTGCAGCCTCCCCCCCCTGCCCAGAAACACTCAATAAGCACATTTTGCCATCACACAGCGTTAGTTGTGGCTCATCTTCTCTTCTTTGCTCATAAAAAATAAGACAGTGGTCCCGTGCATAAGTGTCTGCTGGTGGACACCATCTGCCAGGGCAGGAGCTCTTACAGCATCACCCTTTGCCCTGATGGGAGTTTCGGGTGTGCAGCCTCCCCCCCCTGCCCAGAAACACTCAATAAGCACATTTTGCCATCACACAGAGTTAGTTGTGGCTCATCTTCTCCTCTTTGCACGTGAAAAATAAGACAGCGGTCCTGTGCAGAAGTGTCTGCTGAGGGACACCATCTGCCTGGGTAGGAGCTCTTACAGCATCACCCTTCGCCCTGATGGGAGTTTCGGGTGTGCAGCCTCCCCCCCCTGCCCAGAAACACTCAATAAGCACATTTTGCCATCACACAGAGTTAGTTGTGGCTCATCTTCTCCTCTTTGCACGTGAAAAATAAGACAGCGGCCCCGTGCAGAAGTGTCTACTGGGGGACACCATCTGCCTGGGCAGGAGCTCTTACAGCATCACCCTTTGCCCTGATGGGAGTTTCGGGTGTGCAGCCTTCCCCCTGCCCAGAAACACTCAATAAGCACATTTTGCCATCACACAGAGTTAGTTGTGGCTCATCTTCTTCTCTTTGCTCATGAAAAATAAGACAGCGGTCCCGTGCATAAGTGTCTGCTGAGGGACACCATCGGCCTGGCAGAAACACTCAATAAGCACATTTTGCCATCACACAGCGTTAGTTGTGGCTCATCTTCTTCTCTTTGCTCATGAAAAATAAGACAGCGGTCCCGTGCATAAGTGTCTGCTGAGGGACACCATCGGCCTGGGCAGGAGCTCTTACAGCATCACCCTTCGCCCTGATGGGAGTTTCGGGTGTGCAACCTCCCCCCCTGCCCAGAAACACTCAATAAGCACGTTTTGCCATCACACAGCGCTAGTTGTGGCTCATCTTCTTCTCTTTGCTCATGCAAAATAAGACAGCGGTCCCGTGCATAAGTGTCTGCTGAGGGACACCATCGGCCTGGGCAGGAGCTCTTACAGCATCACCCTTCGCCCTGATGGGAGTTTCGGGTGTGCAACCTCCCCCCCTGCCCAGAAACACTCAATAAGCACGTTTTGCCATCACACAGCGCTAGTTGTGGCTCATCTTCTTCTCTTTGCTCATGCAAAATAAGACAGCGGTCCCGTGCATAAGTGTCTGCTGAGGGACACCATCGGCCTGGGCAGGAGCTCTTACAGCATCACCCTTCGCCCTGATGGGAGTTTCGGGTGTGCAACCTCCCCCCCTGCCCAGAAACACTCAATAAGCACGTTTTGCCATCACACAGCGCTAGTTGTGGCTCATCTTCTTCTCTTTGCTCATGAAAAATAAGACAGCGGTCCCGCACTGAAGCGTCTGCTGGAGCCCGATGGAAAACTGAGCGGTATTTTCAGAACTGGCTGACTCTGGGTTTGGGGTGCTCTCTGTGGGACTCGTGAGATTACTCAAAAAGAGCCTGCCATTTAGAAAGTGGATTTTCAGTGGCTTCTGAAAAAGTGAGCCATAAAACTGGCGCCACATGGGAAATCACTGGTCTAGTGTGCACATTTAGTGCACCTTAAAGCTGGGGGAAACACCAGTTCTTGCGATTCCATCAAGACCGATAGCATCAGAACTGAGATCAGTAGATGGGTTTGATGACGCTCAAAATACAAAGATTACATTAAAGTAGGGCACAACACGATGAATCTATTTTCCCCTTAGGGTGAGCTGTCTCTCCTTCCCTTTTCTACGACCTCCTGTTACACGTGGACATTCCCCCAGCGTTCCCTTTGCCGCGGCTTCCCTGGCTGTGCGTTGGTCCTGGGCAGAGAAATTTGCTGGTATTGGGCAGTTGGGCTTTTTATAGAGATTAGAGTCAAAAAGCAGCTGCTTCCCCATAAGTTGAAGAGTCAAAGCTGCTTTAGCTGGGTCTGGAGCAGACTTGGTGTTTTCTGTGGAGACCCTGGAACACGCATTTCCCATCAGGTTTGCACCAATGTTTTAAGAAATCCTCTCGGAGCGTAAGGGCTCGTCACTGTCACAGAGCAGAGCGTGCCTTTCCTTCCCAGATGGAGTCTCAAAGGAAAGCCTTTCTTCTCTCCAGCTCCGAGCATCCCCTCTTCGTAACAGATTTTAAATGGGAGAGACCAAGAGCCTGAGGCTTGGGCTCTTGCTGGGGAGAACAAGAGGTTTAGTGCCATTGATGTTGGAGCTTTTAATGTTTTTTCATGCTGGGAAGCCCTGGAAGTGCCTGAAGTGCCCTCAGGGATGCAGATCTTTCCTTGGGCTCAGTTCATTTGCCATCAGTGTGACAGCTCGGAGGGTATGAGTGTGGGAAGTGTCCAACCAGGATCAGACCTGCAGCCAGAAAAGTCAAAACTCTTTTCTCGGGCAGTGATTTCCTCCAGAGAGGGAATCTCCCAACTGTCCTGAGAAAAGCTGGAACGGCTCCTGCTTTTGCCTGAGCTGAGGGAGAGGAGGCCAAAGCCCTTTGGGAGAGAGACCTTTCTTAATGGATGTGTGAGAAGACTTTCTCCATGGTAATATGCTAAGAGAGGGCTTTTCTGAGTGAGAGCTGTTACTGGGAGGCGGTGGGAAGGAAGGGGGGTGGGCTGCTGATAGGAGTGGGCATATGATGTCTGGAAGGGTGGACAGTCAGGGCAGGCTCAGGCTAACTACCCTTTCTCATCTCATATTTGCGTTTCGCAGGTGGTTTCATCCCAACATCAGCGGAATCGAGGCAGAGAAGCTGCTCCTGACCAGGGGTGTCCATGGCAGCTTTCTGGCTCGCCCCAGTAAGAGCAACCCAGGAGATTTCACGCTCTCGGTCAGGTAAGCAGACAGCAGCAGGGGAGGGATGGAGGAAGGGGTCTCTTCCAGCACACCCCGCTCCCATCAATGGGTGTACAAGGGGAGAGGAGCTGCACAGGTCTCCCTGGAGCCTCCTCTTCTCCAGGCTGAACATCTCCCACTCATCTAAGGGGACGTGAGCCCCTCTCTCCCCCCAGCTGGGTGCTGTGGGAGCTGCTGGCAGGTCAGAGCACTGGCAATGCTGGCACTGATGGGGCTTCACCTTCTCCTTGTTGCCTCAACTGCTCAGATGAAAGCCTTCTTGGCCCTTTTGCTTCCGTCCCTCCAATTGTCACCAGTTTGAGCCTGCGCTCCTCTCTGCCAAGTGCAGCCATTTCTTAGCTTGGCAAGAGGGAGGCTTGGCAGCTGCCTTATTTTTATTATTTTTTTTTAAATGCTTCCTTTTGTGTTGTGGAATAGAACCTGGCCCTCTGAGCCTTTGCCTCTCGGGCAGCTCTGACCCATCGGAGATCCTCACGCTATGGAGAAATGCAGGGGAAGGGACAAAGCCCATCTTTCCCCCTGCATTGCCTGGGTGGGGGGAGCGTTTGGATGTGACTCCACCAGCTCCCCCGTAATCTTGCCATCAGAGATGGCTGTGAGTTAATGAGAGAGGCAGGAAGTGCTTCTAATTGGAATGGAAAATAAACTCACAGAGAGCTGCCTTGAGCAAGCTATGACAGCGAGGGAATATGTGTAAAAGGCAGGGGTGGGGGGGGTATCTTCATGTGAGCTCAGTGCCTCTTCTCATGTAATTTTGGTGAGTCAGGGTGTCATCTGATGGCACAGCGAAGCACCGACAGCCCTGCTCCACCAGGTGATGTGCAGGCAGATGCAGGTTACGGCTGTGCAACAGCGTCCTGGTGTGGGAAGGTGCCTAGGTAGCAGCGTAATTACCCTGGAATAGCAGGGAAAATTGCTTTGCCGGGGGAGCCAGTTCCCACACCCGAATTACTGCGCTCCTGCCTCGTGCCGTGGAGTCGGGCCACAGGTTTGCACTGGTTTCTTCCCTTTCTTCCCTTTCCCTTCTTTCCTTTGCACTGGTTTCTGTCCCAGTGCCTCAACCATGGGTTTCTGCCATTGGGGCTTGTTGCCTTTTGTCTGTGCTGGTCCACTGCCTCCCCTCGTCTGCTCCATGGGGAGAAAAGCTTGGCCTCGTGGAACAAGTTGCAGAGTCCCAGAGTGGTTTTGTTATTGATATTATTTCTTTACCTCTTTCTGCTTTCTCTGTGGCAGAAAGCAGAGGGGGGGAGGAAGCAAGTGTCAGACTATCGGAGGGGGTTCAGACCACTTCCTACTGCAGGGAGACCTCTGTGTTGCAGTAAATGTCAAATAACAGTATGGTTTGGGCCATAAGATGGAGGCAATTAATGCCCTTAATGCCCGATGGGTGCCCTGCAGGAATGAGCTGCAAGTGAAGAGCAGAGGAATACGGGATGCTGTACTCTGGTAGTATTGAAGAATGCCACCGCAGCCCGCTGGCAGATTGTAACTCAGTGGAAAGTCTGACCAGCTCTCTCAGTTCTGAGTAAACCAGAGCTGTGACACATACCATGTTTCCAGGAAAGCACATTCAACATGACACACACGCGTCAAGGCAATGTGTTGAGTTTTGAGGCATCATGAAGACCAAGAAATAATTCTTTCATGTTTCCAGGAAAGCACATTCAACATGACACAGGCAATGTGTTGAGTTTTGAGGCATCACGAAGACCAGGAAATAATTCTTTCACTGACTACTTCTACGTGCAAGTCCTTGCCCCTTCCTGGCTCATCCCATCTCTCCTCCATGACTTGAGGCAAGGGTTGTCCTATCATCTCGGGTATGGAAGATCTGCTTGGGCATGGTCACTGGTTAGGCAGAAGAGTTTTGCTTGTACTTCATCTGAGCGATACGCTCTTTTCCCACTGATGATGGCCCCAAAACACGTGCACAAATGTCCTTGGGGATTACAACACCCAACAGAGCATAGAACGAGTAGCTTTATGTGCTGTGAAAGCTGAAAACTTGGGAGACTATATCCCTGCTATGTTTTTCCCTTTTCCCTGTTACATTACACAGGCAGACACGGAACAATGTGTTATTATTCTCACCTAGAATTGTATCCTGACAGAGCTTTTTTATTTATTTATTTATCTCTGAACTGGACAGGTCTATACTTTCTTTTTCCTCTTTCTGAGAAATAAAAGGTTTTCAAAGGAAACAATACAGATACCTTTGAAAAAGTACCTAAAATAGAGGTGGCAGGAGGAGAAAGTACCTTTAGGAAAACAATCAAAACCTCTTCCTCCTTCTTTCAACCCCCCCTCCCTTCAGCTTCTTCAAGGCTCTTTGAAAGCCAGTGTGGGGAAATGCAGCTCCTTTTAATTACAGAGAGGATGTGGGTTGAAAATAAAGCAGGCGATGGAGTTTTGGCTCCAGCACTGGTTGTGACCAGACCACACACCAAGTGACCATGTGCTGGTGCCTGTCCAGATACACGTCCCTCAAGAGGGGGTAGGAAATAATATTGCAGAAGTTATGAGAAGGTTTCCACGAAACTCTGTGGCTGCTTTCCCTTTCTTTTTCTTTACCTCTGTGCACTCTTTCAACCTTTACCATTACAGCAACAAGTCTTCACAAGGCTTTGTTTTTTCAGCTCTTAAGAGACAGAGGCAAGCTGTATGGAGAGGACATGATATCATGATATGGTTAAATGAAGGGATGACGTCTGCCCTGGTCTTAAAATAATAGAAAATAAAAAATCTTCAAAAAAACCCTCAGCTCTCAGTCCAAACTGCTGGCAGCTTGTAATTGGCCAAACCTGTCTCTTCCGTTATTCCTTCGTCTTCTGAAACATGGGACGTCTCTGCAGATAAGTTCAAGAGCTTGTTCCACCTGGAGGATCAAACACACCTGCTCTAGTCCAGTGCCAAGAGGGCTGTGTTTCTGAGGAAACAGCCCTCTTTGTTTGGAGTGCTGGTGGTACGTCAGTATGGGTACCAAATTTGGATTTATTGGCTCGTCTTGTTCTCTGGGCAAATATGTGGAGCACATCAACAGGGAGGAAAGTGGTCTGGCAACTGCAGCTGAAGCGTCATGATGACGGAGAGTCATCTGAACTGCTTCTTCCTGGCAATGGGGTATGAAGAATTTGAAACCCATACCTAATCTCTAGAATATACTTGGCGGTGTCTCTGAAATTGCATGTAAACATCAGGTGGTTCTGTTGGGTTGTGTTGGTGGACATCGAATTTTCTCCGAGAGCCTGAGCTCTCATTTAATTGAAAGCAAACATTCAGCGAAGTTTCTAAACCCCACGGGAGAGCCTTCTTGTTTTTTCCATAGAGAATCTTCGGGGGGTTTTTGGTTTGCTTTTTGCAGCCTGTCGGAGGGGTCCTATTTGCATGCTGTGAAGTTCTAGGCTTTCTCTGTCTGACACAGGCAGGAAAAGCACATGACCAAAAAAGACTTCTGGGGATGCAATGGGCGAAGGTATTTCTGACATTTAAAGTGGTTGTTTTTCTATCAGTGACAAAAAAGGGTCTGTTTGGGGTTTTTTCTTGTATGTCCTCTTCGTATGGACTTTGCTCTGTTGCAAAGAAGAGCAGACTATGTCTATGCTGGTGATCACCGCAGTATGGACACACATATTCCCAAGCTGGAATATTTTTGGATCAAGGAACCCTCCTGAATATCCAGCGAAGGGGTTGTGCTGATAGTGCAAAGAAGCTTAGCTTGGAACGGAGGCAGCTCTCACTCTTCCGATGGCTGACTCCGAAGCTACCAAAGAAGCTGGCATCTGCTGTTCCAACAGTGCTGCATCCCTGTGTGAGAGCCCAATGTCTGTTAGAAGTAGCCATGCCCTCCGGCACGGGGCAGCTGAGGACTTTGGGCATCTCCTTTGTGCTTTATTTCACCAGCCAGCATGTCGAGGGCACAGATTAATGGATGCTCCCACTGCTCGGTCCAGTCCTGCTGCCCAGCTTGGAGGTGACGCAAGCTTTAAGAGAAGAAAATGGGAAGGAAATGGGCGTCGATCAATGCCCTTTGTGTGTAGCGTGACCTTGAGGTCTCATGGGATAAATGACCCTGATTATCTCTCTGCTTTTCATCCCAGAAGTGCTCAGAGGCCTTGGGGGGGTGGGGGTGGTGGGTCTGTGAACTGAGCCTTTGTAGGTCTGTAATGGGGTGGGGATGGGGAGAGAAGGCAGCTTTTGAGCCTCGGGCCAAGTGGCAAAGACACAGTTTCGTCTGCTGCCTTCTGTGCTGCACAAAGGCTCTGCAAGTCCAGCTGCTGGCCCTGAATGGCTGAAGCACTTCTTGTGCCAGCTCCTCTCAGAGAGGAGGCATTGTCATCGTCATCGGAGCGCTGGCTGGGATCTGAATTTCACAGCCCGTTCTCGTTTCCATCCAGTGAGCTCTGCTCCTACCCGAGATGCAAATATTGCCAAACTTTGAAGTCTCTGCCCATAGGACAGCTGGAGTTGGCGTGGCAAGCCAGGTTGGAAATATTAGGAAGAATTACTTCACTGAAAGGGTTGTCAAGCACTAGAACAGGCTGCCCAGGGAAGTGGTGGAGTCGCCATCCCTGGAGGTATTTAAAAGATGGGCAGACGTGGTGCTGAGGGACATGGTTTAGTGATAACTTGGCAGTGGCTTATCAGTTGAACTTGTTGATTTTAAAGGGCTCTTCCAACCAAAACTATTCTATGATTCTAGGATTAGATGTACCATGAAGAGTTAACCGTGTCTCTCTGAACACCCAGGAGCACCACTCACCAGTTCCCTGTATTACAGATGGTCGGGTTCTGTCTCCAAGACCTTGCTGTCAAGGTGTGACACGGCCGTTCAGGGTCCAGATGCAGGTTTTCGCACCTCAGGCCTGTTTGTCAGTCTTCTGCTGGTTTTATTCTGTTTTTAATTTGGGATGATGGCAATACTTTGGCCGCTGTCTCTGGCTGTTCACGCTTGGTTGGTTGTTGCCACTGAATTGGCACGAACTGGAAATGACCTCAGTGCCAGACGAAGCATCCAAGAAGGGCTATGTTGGGCACAAACTGGAATTGCTGATTCCACATTGACAAAGTCCTCTTTAGCAACTGGGATGGAGGAAATGGGAATATGGCCATTTGTCAGGGCGGTGTTTTGGGGAGAACCGCAGGACATGTGGCAACCAGGGCTTGAGTGTGGCTAAGAGTGTTGCCATCTAATCATAAGGCAGGTCTCTCCAATAAAGGCAGGTCTGGAGGACGGGCAGGCACTTCATGTTTCTGTGGACTCTTTGAGGCTTAGGACACAGATCTCACCACCAGGTTCCAGCCTGGCCTCATCTTGGTGCCACGTTTTTAAGCTCAAAGAGGACACCACCAGGTTCCAGCCTGGCCTCATCTTGATGCCATGTTTTTAAGCTCAAAGAGGGGAGATTGAGATGAGATATTAGGAATAAATTCTTTGCTGTGAGGGTGGTGAGAGCCTGGCCCAGGTTGCCCAGATAAGCTGAGGCTGCCCCATCCCTGGAGGGGTTCAAGGCCAGGTTGGATGGGACTTTGAGCAACCAGGTCTGGTCGGAGGTGTCCCTGCCCAGGGCAGGGGGGTTGGAAGTGCGTGATCTTTAAGGTCCCTTCCAACTCTGTGATTCTGTGACCTGATCTTTCACTGCACTGCTACGAGTGCAGAAGGATAGCAGAAATGAGGGCAGTTCCTCTACTGAGAGCCCCAGAGCCCCTGCCACGGTCCAGCTCTCCCATTTAACCTCCTGCACAGACCACTGTCACTTTCCTAGTTCCCCACTCCATGAAATGGCTTTTCTGTCTGACCTGGTGCGCTGCTTATACCACCTTGAGTCCCCGGCATCTCTCTGTCACGGTTGCTTTGGCAACAAATTGAGAGAGGCTGGGAGCAGCTCCGCAGAAGAAGAAATTTGCCCAGATTTACGAATCTCTCTTTCTCTCTCTCACCCAGCTCGTCTGTCAACCATCGGGCTTCCAGCCACTTCTCGCTGGCTCAGGGAGGGCTGCTGCTAAGTGCATTTAAAATGCAATTAAACCTGTCTCTCAGAGGGTAGTGTGGTCTTCTGAGGAAGGAGACTGGGCTTTGCTGGGGTGAGGGGGCTGATGAAGGCACCCAGCCTATTCCCCTTAAGCCTTGAGGGCACCACTGGAGAGGGGGAAGGCATTAACCCCTTCAGGCCAGTTTTATAGGGTTTGCAAATAGCATGTAATATATCCATTTGGGTGATTTTTTTTTCTTTCCCCTGTTTTTTTTAAACTAATTAGATGATAGCAAGTATCCCTTTGCATGGAGAGCTGTTCACTGTAAACCAGGGTGAGGTCAGGGCCTCATCCAGCTGAGAGGGTGAGTAGTGTAGGAAGTGGAAGGGATGGCAGAGGAGGGATTATTCACCTCCTTGTTGGGTTGTGTGGGAAGCAGGGCGGGCTGGGAGCTTGTGAGGTGCAGAGTCAGTTCTTGGCTGAGTCCCCATGGCCAAGGAGCATCCATCCCTTCCCCTGCTGTAGGTCAGCACGAGTGGGTCAATGGAGAGCAGGGGATGCAGCTTAAAGAAGTAGAGATGGTGTTCAGGAGGACTCTGAAGACCAGTGCTGGGTTTCCATTCTCTCTTACGGTCTTGTTTGCCTTCCTTCCTCAGAAGAAACGATGAGGTGACGCACATTAAGATCCAGAACACGGGGGATTACTATGACCTGTACGGAGGGGAGAAGTTTGCCACCCTTGCCGAGCTGGTGCAGTACTACACCGAGCAGCAGGGGCTGCTGCGGGAGAAGAACAGCAACGTCATCGAGCTCAAGTACCCCCTCAACTGCCAGGACCCCACCTCGGAGAGGTAAGCCCAGCTCTCCCACAGCCTCTCCTGGTGATGGTGTCACCATCTTCAGACCCTACAGCTGCGCCTGGCCCAGGTTTGGAAAGGAGCCTGAAACAGAGCGTGTTTGGGTGTGATTTAGCTTTCCTGACCCAAAAGTTGCACATTTGTGGGAGGTGGTTCCTTGGCAGCTCTGCATGCAGAAGCTGGCTAGATAACACGAACGAGGCCCAGAAGCTGAGAAGGGTGATGGTGTCACCATCTTCAGACCCTACAGCTGCGCCTGGCCCAGGTTTGGAAAGGAGCCTGAAACAGAGCGTGTTTGGGTGTGATTTAGCTTTCCTGACCCAAAAGCTGCACATTTGTGGGAGGTGGTTCCTTGGCAGCTCTGTGTGCAGAATAACACAAGCTGAGAAGCTTTCTCCAGCTTGGAGGCAACAGGGAACCTGAGCAGTGTGAGTCCATCTGTAAAGGGTCCTGCAGCCATACCCTAGGAGCCATGCAGCTTTGGTTTTAAAAGAAACAGAAGACATTTAAGTGACTTGTGTCCGCCTGCAGAGTGCTGGGTAGAAATGCCCTGTAAAAAGTCCATCCCCGTCCCATCCCAGCCTGTCAGCACTGCTTATCCTGGTGGGAACGCACTGTTGTCCCACAGGGGGATGGCCAGCTACTTCAGGATGTTTCTACCAGCCGATGAGTGACCTTCTTGTGAAGGTCTTGTTGCCTGTGATGCTCCAGTGACCCTTTTTTCCCCCTTTTCCTCCCCCTCAGTTTCCCCGGAGTCATGTGCCACGGCTGATGGGGTGGGTGGGAAGGGGAATGCCTGGTCGGGCCAGGCCAAAGCCGGCTCCTGAGGGCTCTAACTTTAGCAGCCGGGGTAAAGCCGAGGCCGTGGCTGGTCTCGGTTCCTGAAATGGAGCGGCGTCGCTCTCCTCCACGCCGTCAGCTGAGGCCCTGGGAAGTCCCTCCAGCTCATGTGCTCCCTGGTTGCCAGGGAGGTTTCTTTCCTCCTTCCAGCTCGCAGGGTGAAGGGCGGCCGGGCAGCCGCTCGCGTTAGCAGAACCTCTGGAAAAGTGGAAACCCCCTTCGGCTGGGTTTCCCCTTCTTCTCCAGCCAAGGAGAGTCTGGCTTGGCAAGGAAGCTCCATAAATGCTTCTGCTCCAGACCACGCATCTGGTGGCATGAGGGGGAAGGGAGGGAAAATGGTGCAAATCCTCTAAATATACAAAATGACGCTGGTGTCAGAATATAGCGGGGTGCGTCAGGGTGGCAGCATTTCCAAGACCTGGGCCTGAATAGTGGCAGTGCTGTGAGGAGGAGCCCGGGCCCTTCACCAGAGGTGGGTCATTCTTCCCTCTGCAGCAGTACCACTGGGGCAGCCCCACCATCCTCATGTCTTCTGAAGCCCACAGGAAGGAGTCTTGCTCTTTCGAGGTCTTCCCATCCCGGCTCAAGACGGCAGCCCTTGCGGCGTGATGAGTCAGGAGGGGAAAGGCCCAGCATCACCGACTGCTCTTCTGTAAACTTCGTCCTCCGGGACAAAGTTGCTGAGACGTGACGTGATGCCGTTGCATCGCCCCTGGAAGGTTATTTTGAGCCTCTCTGAATTCCTGGCAGCTTGGCTGGCGGGCCAGGGGCCAGTGTCTTCAAAGTGGGACCTGTGGCATCCGCCCAGATCCACTGCTGAGTGTTGATGGAGTGTGGGGATTGAAGCCTCCCAGGCCAAAAAGAAACCCAAACCCAACTCAGCTTCACTCCAGACTGTGATTTGTGTCTCTGGAAGGCTGTAGCAGAGCGTTAGCCCTGAGGCATGCCCTAGATAGCTGCTCTGTGGGTAGGTGGGACACGCTACCTTGCTGAGCGTGGAGCTAGGACAACAGTGCTGCCCTTTGGGAAGCAGAGGACACGGCCAGGAAGGGGCAGATCATTGTGTGCTGAACCCCCAAGGCGTTGTGGCAAGGCTTCTGACCCAGCCGGTTCAAAGATAGCCTGGGTTTCACTGGGGCTGCAGAGTGAGTGTGTCAGCAGACCAAGAGAAAGGATTATGAGAGATTAGATGGAGAAACCAGGGGCACGTGCGTGCCAGATGTCCACGGACGGAGAGGTGGAGCAACTCGTGCCTACACGGTGAGGCTTGGGAATTGCTGAGCACAAACCTCAGCACGTTGTAGTCACTGCTGGCTGGAGACGTGGCCACGGGCAGGGCTGGAGGAGGAGAAGCCTCCTGGACATAAGGGGGAACCTAATTTTGCCACACCAGGAGAGCCTGTTCTCCCCGAGCTGAGGCTGGAGACCAGGGAGGGGAGCAGCAGTAACTACAGCCAGGAGGACCCTTCTGAAAATCCTTCCCAAATCCTGGCAAAGCATCTTGTTCCTGGTCAGTGCTGTCCATGCTGTGTGTCTGATACTGTCTGACTACAACCTGCTGACTCCAAGGGTTCTTTTTCTTCCATATTAAAAAAAAATAGAGGAAAATGTGGCCACCTTTAAGTAAGAACTGCCAGAACTGTGTTTCTCATAGCTTGGTCAGAGCCCTATCCCCGGATGACAGCGCTTGTTGTACATCACGTGGCGGTTTAATACACTGATGCCATCTCGCATTTGGCTGGAGGGTTGAGCAAAGTCCTGACGCTTCCAGCCTCGGGCTAAGGTCTTGATGTGACATTGCAAAGTGTTGGAGGAGAGTCACTGGGGACTGTTTCTAAAATAACTCCAAGCCGGTGTCGTGCCGGTGGGGAGAGCAGTCGGACTGGGAGCCTGGAAATGGGTTTCCCACCAACAGGGGAGCGAGTGAGGTTCTTGGCTAAAGGTGATGCTCTGTGCTTTTCTGAGCTGACCTTGCTCTCCATCGCTGCTCCCCAGGTGGTACCATGGGCACCTCACTGGCAAGGAGGCAGAGAAGCTTCTGACAGAGAAGGGGAAACCGGGTAGCTTTCTGGTGCGGGAGAGCCAGAGCAAACCAGGAGACTTTGTATTGTCGGTGCTGACAAATGAGGATAAGATGGAGACTGGGGACCGAAAACCGCACGTGACCCACGTGATGATCCACTACCAGGTGGGAAATGGGCTGTCCCCGCTCACCCCACCGCAGGGGCTGGGTGGGTGACCCAGCTGGGAGCTGTGCATTCGAATGTCTCTATGGTTTTGTCCTTCTCTCCTGCAGCCAGACGGGAAGTACGACGTGGGAGGAGGAGAGAGGTTCGACACCCTCACAGACCTGGTGGAGCACTATAAGAAAAACCCCATGGTGGAGAAATCGGGAGCTGTGGTTCATCTGAAGCAGGTAATAGCAGCTCTGGTGCATATTTGTTGGTTCTGGGCTTGCCCAAACTCCTGGGGGAGTGCACAGATCTGTCCCTGCTCTTCGGGAACTCCCTGCCCCCAGAACATCCCGCTGCTACTCATCCTGCTTGTCCAGAAGACAAACCAGAGAGGTCCATGGCTCCAGACTCAGGGCCTCAGGAATGGACCCAACTTTGACCAAGACATCTGGGGATTCGGGAGCTTTTTTTTTTTTTTTTTTTTTTTTTTTTTTTTTTTCCCCCAAGGGGAAAGTTTATCTGTCTTTCTGTTATTGAAAGTGATTTCTCTTCTGTCTTCATCTGTCTTTCAGCCATTCAACGCCACGCGCATCAACGCAGCTAACATTGAGAACAGGGTGAAGGAGCTGAACAAAATGGCAGATCACAGTGAGAAGGCCAAGCAAGGGTTCTGGGAAGAGTTTGAGGTACAGAATCCTCCTGTGCTCTGTCCCACTTGCGCCTTTGGGTGAAGAATATCAGATTTGCATGGGAGTGTTGTGGTTTCTCCAGTATTGAAGGCTTCTTCTCAACACTGTTTCTCCTTTCCCTGTTTTCCACGTTCAACTGAGTTACTCCCTGGTCCTTTATTTCATTGCTTTTTCTCGTGTCTAAGGCAGTTTCTCTTTCCTTGTCCTAGAATGCGTGCCTTTTGTTCCCTGTGGGGATTTGTGTCTTCTCCCCTCATTAACTCTCTCATCAACCTACTTCTTGGCTCCCTTTCCCTTCCTGCCAGCCCTCCCTCCGCTCTTCTCAGCGTTAGGAACCCAAGCAGGTGGTCGAGAGAGCCCTTTCTTTACCTCTGACTCCCCTTGTCTGCCCAGAACAGCTTGTTCTTTTGTATTCTGCTCCACAGATGCTGCAGCAGCAAGAGTGCAAGCTCCTCTACCCGAGGAAGGAGGGGCAGCGACCAGAGAACAAGGCGAAGAACCGCTACAAGAACATCCTTCCCTGTAAGGAGACACTCAACACTGGTTTGGTTTTTTTTTTTAATCATCATTTCTGCAATCTTCTCTGGGGCTGGTTAACCCTGCAGAGCTTTCTGATCATAGCTGAGTTAGAAGGAGGTGTATACTGTCCTACTGGAGAGGTCCAGTTAGTTCATGGCGTTCTCCATGATCTCCAAGCTACAGCTTCCCAAAGAAATAGTGGACAGCCTGAGCTCAGGTTGGTCTGCAACACTGCATATCACTAATGTCCATCCGAGTTACTAGATTGGCAACACGGCTGTGAGGCAGGTCCTGTGGAGTACTGCCAAGGGCCATTAGGAGAGCATTTTACACCCTCTTTTGCAGTAGTTGCCCATGTCCCTTCATGGTAGGAGCCTTGTGGGAGCTCTTGCTGGGAGCTGCTGTGACTGCCTGGCAGCAGAGCCCATTCAGGCTCCTCTCTTCATCCTGGACTCTCTTCTCCTTCAGTTGATACCACGCGGGTGGCACTCCAGGATGTAGATGAGAGCGTGCCTGGGTCAGACTACATCAACGCCAACTATATCAAGGTACTTGGGAAAGGGAAGACACCATGTGAGGACTGTCTTCAGCCCAGCGCTGTGTCAGAGCAGTAATGGTGGAAGTCTTGAGGGAATGGCCTGTCAGGACCAGTGTCATTCACTGGGTCCAGGCCAAACACTGGATTTTTCTAGTGTATTCCAGGAGATCTCATCGTTCTGCCATGTCCTGTTTGCTCCTAAGAGTTTCTCTCAGTCCCCTCCTTTCCTTACCTGCTCAGGAGGTCCTAAGGGACTGATCCAGACTCTCTGCCATTGAACATTATCTCTGAGGTCAAATTATAATTGCCATCTGTAAGCGAAGAGCTGCTCGAAGCTGTATTTCCAGCAGCGCTGCTCTGGCACTTAAGTACCAGCCTTTTGGGAAACCTTCAAGGTGGCTTCATTCCAGCCACGTCCACCTGCAACTTGAGCAGCTGCCTCTGGCAAGGCTCCGTTGGGCAGTAACGTGCCTTACAGCAGCATGAAGGTCCCCAGACCGTTTTGCTGGCAACGCTGTTGAGGCTGGTGATGAGAGCGGTTCGTATCCTCAGGTCTGATGAGTAGAGGAAAATCAGGTAGCTCAAAAGTCCCACCTGGCAAGTTGTGCTGACTTTGCTGCTAAAAGTGCATTAAAGCAACTCTCAGTTCCTCACTCCGGCATCGTTGCCTTCTTTTTTTTACCCCTCTCCTTTGCTCCTCAGAGCATCCCTGAAGATGGAAGGAACTCGGAGCACTGCAAGGTCTATATAGCCACCCAGGGCTGCCTGCAGACCACAGTGAATGACTTCTGGGCCATGGTGTATCAAGAGAACAGCCACGTCATTGTCATGACGACCAAGGAGGTGGAGCGGGGCAGGGTGAGTGCTTGTAGGGTGTATAGTATTTAGTTGTCTCTGGTGAAGCTTTCATTTCATTTCTCCTCTGTCTTGTGACGTTGCTTTAGCTCTTCTTCATGAAAGAAACGCGCCACTTCGCTCTGCACAGCCCGTCTCCCCAGCCCCATAAATATTGATGGAGTGTCCCTCATCTGACTTGCTTCAAGGCTCTGGGGGTTTGCAGGTGGCAGAGGGAAAGAGAGAAAATGTCGTGCTTGTTAGAGCAAGCTGGAAGCAGGGGAGGGGGACGTATGTTGCAGGCGGCGTGTGGGACAGAAGTAATTCTACAAGCTGTCTGGGGACCACCTGTACGGCTTTCACGAAGAGTGGGTTGATATGGGCCAATAATACAGAAATTCTATGCAGAGCCATTTGCTGGAACAGCCTTCCTGAGTAAAGAGAGGAGCTAATTATGAGTGGCACTAGCAGTTCGGAACGAGGGGGAGGCTGTGCTTGCAGCAGCCCGGTGCAGAGATGAGATAAAGATAGCTCTACATGGAAACGTAGAATGGTTGGAAGTTGGAAGAGTTGGAAGGCACCTTGAAAATCATTGAGTTCCCCCCACCCTTGCCATGGGGTTCCTTTGGATTGGCAAAGTCACTCTAGCAAAGAGGGGATGGGATGGGGGACAGGCAGACTGTGGTCTCTTGGGATGGAGAATTGACTCAGGAATCAGGCAGTGACCAGACCAACAGCTCAGGTGCTGTGTGTCAAGACTATACCCTTGGCAAAGCAGTGCCTGGCTGAGGAGGACAATTCCCCTAGGGATCATGTCCTTCGTATAGGAATAGTCCTTTCCAAAACATCCCCAGTTGGAGGGCAGTGCTCTGTGTCCATGGCTCTCCTTTAGACCCCTGCACTGGGGCTGCACACCCTTGGGGTGCAGCAGCATCCCCGAGCGAGGTGTTGAGGGGTTCCTCCTCCAGCTCCCCAGCCTGGACTAACGAGCAGCTCTCTGATTGCTGCCAAATTCTCTTGCTGCAGAACAAGTGCTTCCGCTACTGGCCAGACAAGGGTTGCACCAAGGAATACGGGTGCATCTCCGTGAGGAACGTGAGCGAGCGCGAGGCCCAGGGCTACTACCTTCGGGAGCTGGAGATCTTGCGGACCGACCGGGTGAGTCCTCTGCTCCTCTCTGTCCTGAGAATGGGCTGGTGCTGGAGGAACTGTGGCTTCTCTGTTCGTGGGGTGGTTTTTTTTTAATCTTAATGGTCCCGCTGCTTGAGTTCTGGGCCACTTTCCCCCAGCTTTGATAAAAGTGGCTTCTCTGTTCGTGGGGTGGTTTTTTTTAATCTTAATAGTCCCGCTGCTTAAGTTCTGGGCCACTTTGCCCCAGCTTTGATAAAAGGAAAGGAAGGAGAAGCCTCCTGGAAGGAGGGGGGTTTCTGACAGGGTGGTGGGTCTCTGCTCCCTGCAGGATGAGCGCCCGAGACTGGTGAAGCACTATCAGTATTTTAGCTGGCCAGACCACGGGGTGCCCAATGAACCAGGAGGGGTGCTGAGCTTTCTGGACCAAGTGAATCGGGCACAGCGAAGCATTCCAGGCACGGGGCCCATCATAGTGCACTGCAGGTAGGAACCAGCAGGGATGGGTAATAAAAATGTGTCTCTTCTTTTTGTTTTTTTTTGTTATGCTTGGAGCTGGGTCATCACGTGAGCTGATGGTGGGCAATGGGGATACAAGTGTTCAGATGGGGAGATACAGCTCTCCTCCAGAGCCTCACTGGTGGTAGCACAGGGAGGAACAGACCTGATCTGGAGTTGGTGGCTCTGGTGCAGCTGTCTAGACTCTGATCTCCTACGGGTGAGCATTTGGCTGTTGGGATTATTTTATAGGAACCATGCCAAATCTGCCCGGGTTGGATGAGATGAGAGTAGGAGCTGAGCTGACTATCTCGGGGGGAATGTTTCTTCCTGCAATGATTTTTTTATTATTATTTATTTCTTTTCTCTCTCCAGTGCTGGAATAGGACGCACAGGCACCATCATAGTGATAGATATTCTGGTGGATATTATTCACAGGCAAGGTATGTTCTCCCCGTCTGTCTCGTGGCTTTCACCTTGCTCTGACCAGTTGTGGGGTAACCCTGCTCTTGTGCAAGCAGAGGGTACCTGATCTCCAAGGAGTGGGTTTGGGAAACAGTGGGGATGGGCTGAGCCTGAACACAAAACAAGGGGGGTTTTGTACTGTCCCCACTCCCCCCCCTTTCTCTGTGGGCCAAGAAATGAACCTCTATCGTAATGAAATGTGAACTCTCTCCAGAAGGACGTGCACATGGACAGTAATGTGAGACTCAGGAGAGTCTTCTCCTTGGCATCAATGGGGCCAGGACTTCAAGGTCTCCTGGACAGCCCTCTTTTATTGAGGGTGGGGGGAAATAGGTTCAGTAAGGGTGTAACTCCAGTAGCTCTTTTAGAGATAAGTGCCCCAAACTCTTCTGTGTGGAAGGGCTGTCACCCTTACCTGACATTCTAGAGCCATTGTGGATCTCTGTGGTATCTCAGAGGATACCACCTGGACCACAAGGTCCAGGAACCTTAAGGCAGGTGGAGCCTCTTCAGCAATGGTTGTGTCTATTTCCTAAACTGCAAGGGTGGTAAGTCTGGATCTGTAGGAAGTTGTGGAACAGACCTAACTCCCCTTCCCTTGCTCCAAGCCAGTCAGCCCTGCCTCAGCCATTCTCAATCCAAGGAGCTCAGGCAGGGACAAAAAATAAAATTAAAATTAAAATCTCCGAGGCAGAGATGCACCAAATCCTTTCACGATATTCTGTGTGCAGGGAGGCGCTGAAAGCTTTCAAAGCTGTGTTAAGAAAATAACTTTTCAACCTGATTCCCACTCCCTAAACCTCACCTTCTCCCTCCTGAGCAGGTCTGGACTGCGATATCGACATCCCCAAGACTATCCAGATGGTACGCCGGCAGCGGTCGGGGATGGTGCAGACCGAGGCCCAGTACAAGTTCGTTTACATGGCTGTCCAGCAGTACATCGAGGCTGAGCAGAAGAGGTTGGAAGAAGAACAGGCGAGTCCCCTTCATCTCGACCAGAAAAGCAAGAGCAGATCCAGCTCCCCAGCCTGGACTAACGAGCAGCTCTCTGATTGCTGCCAAATTCTCTTGCTGCAGAACAAGTGCTTCCGCTACTGGCCAGACAAGGGTTGCACCAAGGAATACGGGTGCATCTCCGTGAGGAACGTGAGCGAGCGCGAGGCCCAGGGCTACTACCTTCGGGAGCTGGAGATCTTGCGGACCGACCGGGTGAGTCCTCTGCTCCTCTCTGTCCTGAGAACGGGCTGGTGCTGGAGGAGCTGTGGCTTCTCTGTTCGTGGGGTGGTTTTTTTTTAATCTTAATGGTCCCGCTGCTTGAGTTCTGGGCCACTTTCCCCCAGCTTTGATAAAAGGATAAAAGGAAAGGAAGGAGAAGCCTCCTGGAAGGAGGGGGGTTTCTGACAGGGTGGTGGGTCTCTGCTCCCTGCAGGATGAGCGCCCGAGACTGGTGAAGCACTATCAGTATTTTAGCTGGCCAGACCACGGGGTGCCCAATGAACCAGGAGGGGTGCTGAGCTTTCTGGACCAAGTGAATCGGGCACAGCGAAGCATTCCAGGCACGGGGCCCATCATAGTGCACTGCAGGTAGGAACCAGCAGGGATGGGTAATAAAAATGTGTCTCTTCTTTTTGTTTTTTTTTTGTTATGCTTGGAGCTGGGTCATCACGTGAGCTGATGGTGGGCAATGGGGATACAAGTGTTCAGATGGGGAGATACAGCTCTCCTCCAGAGCCTCACTGGTGGTAGCACAGGGAGGAACAGACCTGATCTGGAGTTGGTGGCTCTGGTGCAGCTGTCTAGACTCTGATCTCCTACGGGTGAGCATTTGGCTGTTGGGATTATTTTATAGGAACCATGCCAAATCTGCCCGGGTTGGATGAGATGAGAGTAGGAGCTGAGCTGACTATCTCGGGGGGAATGTTTCTTCCTGCAATGATTTTTTTATTATTATTTATTTCTTTTCTCTCTCCAGTGCTGGAATAGGACGCACAGGCACCATCATAGTGATAGATATTCTGGTGGATATTATTCACAGGCAAGGTATGTTCTCCCCGTCTGTCTCGTGGCTTTCACCTTGCTCTGACCAGTTGTGGGGTAACCCTGCTCTTGTGCAAGCAGAGGGTACCTGATCTCCAAGGAGTGGGTTTGGGAAACAGTGGGGATGGGCTGAGCCTGAACACAAAACAAGGGGGGTTTTGTACTGTCCCCACTCCCCCCCCTTTCTCTGTGGGCCAAGAAATGAACCTCTATCGTAATGAAATGTGAACTCTCTCCAGAAGGACGTGCACATGGACAGTAATGTGAGACTCAGGAGAGTCTTCTCCTTGGCATCAATGGGGCCAGGACTTCAAGGTCTCCTGGACAGCCCTCTTTTATTGAGGGTGGGGGGAAATAGGTTCAGTAAGGGTGTAACTCCAGTAGCTCTTTTAGAGATAAGTGCCCCAAACTCTTCTGTGTGGAAGGGCTGTCACCCTTACCTGACATTCTAGAGCCATTGTGGATCTCTGTGGTATCTCAGAGGATACCACCTGGACCACAAGGTCCAGGAACCTTAAGGCAGGTGGAGCCTCTTCAGCAATGGTTGTGTCTATTTCCTAAACTGCAAGGGTGGTAAGTCTGGATCTGTAGGAAGTTGTGGAACAGACCTAACTCCCCTTCCCTTGCTCCAAGCCAGGGGTGGTAAGTCTGGATCTGTAGGAAGTTGTCGTGGAACTGACCTAACTCCCCTTCCCTTGCTCAGCCCTGCCTCAGCCATTCTCAATCCAAGGAGCTCTGGCAGGGATGAAAAATAAAATTAAAATAAAAATCTCCGGGGCAGAGATGCACCAAATCCTTTCACGATATTCTGTGTGCGGGGAGGTACTGAAAGCTTTCAAAGCTGTCTTAAGAAAATAACTTTTCAACCTAATTCCCACTCCCTAAACCTCACCTTCTCCCTCCTGAGCAGGTCTGGACTGCGATATCGACATCCCCAAGACTATCCAGATGGTACGCCGGCAGCGGTCGGGGATGGTGCAGACCGAGGCCCAGTACAAGTTCGTTTACATGGCTGTCCAGCAGTACATCGAGGCTGAGCAGAAGAGGTTGGAAGAAGAACAGGCGAGTCCCCTTCATCTCGACCAGAAAAGCAAGAGCAGAACTTGACCCACCCCAAACCCCGTTTCCCCCCCATCACCGACACCTTCTCCCTGGAACTCAAATACTGCCCTGAACGCGTGGAAATCAACCCACACCCACTGCTCCCCTGCTGGGATTTGGGATCTTGTAAGGCTTTTCTCCTGCTTTGGGTGGGATTTTGATTGTCTTTGCTTTCTCTTTCAGAGGAATAAAAGGAAAGAGCGAGACTACTTGAACATCGGCTACTCCCCTATGGAAAAAGGCAGAGCCAAAGGGCAGCCCCCTTCACCACGGACCCAGTCTGTGTAAGCTGGATGTCTCTCTGCCAGGGCTAAGGACTTCTGCTGCAGGAGGGAGAACAGCTTGAGCAAAGCCCCAGGGTTTGTCCTTTGCTGGCCTGACCAGCTGCTGGTTATCATATGAGAACGGCTGAAAATAAGCAGGTGATCCCAGCACACCACCAGCAGTGGTGTGTGGTGGGATCCTATTCTCCTTTTGGAAAGGAGAGGAGGAAAGAGATCCCAGTCCTTAGTGATTAATGCCCCATATCCTTGGCTCTGGAGAATGTCTCCAGAGAATCATCTCCAGAGTGAAACCGTGCTGTTGCCACTGAGGGATTTTTTCAGCAAACTCTGAAGGAAGACGAGAAGGGAGCAGAGGGAGGAGGATTTGCATCCATGTGGAGAGGGAGCATGTGCCAAGGAGCAGGAGTTTCTTACATAAGCAGAGACAAAATACCCCAAATTATGTTTTTTTCCCCTCTTGCTGCAAGTAATGGGATTACCCGTGGGTGATGGAGAGGGGGTTATAGGGTGAAGGCGAGTTGGTAGGGACATATGTCAGTTAGACAATATGAGAGCTTCTGGGCACCTCGAGTTTCAGGAGGGGTTTTGAAGGAAAAGCTGGCTGGGCAGGAGCAGAGGAGTGGGTGTAAAGTGGAGGCAGAAATGCTGTTGCTGGGCTCCTACAGAGGAAAAAATGCAGCTGAAGAGAAGAGGGGAGCAAAAGGAGATGTCAGATGTTGGGATCTTCCCCACTGGACTCTAGAAACATTTGTGTCCTGTTTAAAATGCCCAACTTTGAAAGTGCAGCTCTGAATAAATGAGGGTGGTGAGGATTGAATGGGACTGAGCTGAGCAAGGGGAGCTCTACGTGGCTCCAGAGAGCTCCTGTGAGTTCAGCTTTGGGTGTCAAACCTGCTCTGGAGGTACTTGGGTCTGGTCTTTGGATCAGCCCCCTCCTTCCATTAGGTTTTGGAAAATCCAGGGGAATTGGGTACGTAGAGAAAGTAAGAGTAGGAAACACCAGGAGTTGTATCCACTGATCCTGCAGAAACATTGCATCCGTGAAAGGCTGACGTGGAGGAAGGTTCAAGGCTCCATCCCAAGCTGTGTTTGAACCTGGGAGGGGTGGCCCAGCCAGAGGGAGAGAAAACAGGGGTTGAGAATTCCTATCCACAAGGCTGGGGAGGGGAAAAAGGGAGCTTGGCTGGGCCATTACCCGCTTCCCACTGGCCGCCTGCCTCTGGGAAAAGATCCAGAGCAGAGGGAGGCTGTTAATAACAAGGCTTTGTTTCTTGACAGGGTTGATGATGACTCAGCTTCCGTCTACGAGAACCTTAACATCAAAAGCCCAAAGGTTTCAGGGATGAGTAATACGGGGCGATAAAGGAGCCGGAGGTGAGCTGTATGGAGGCTGTACAGGTAGGAATGTTTCCCTTGATTAACCCAGTGTCACCACAGCCTGTTTACGTTGCGTTTGACCCGGCTCCTCTTCAGATCTCCCTGGCTCTCCCCGCTGCAGGGAAGGCAGCTACGCTTTGATTAAATTTGACGGAGCTTAAAGATGTGGCTGCAGGCAGCTGCTGATGGGAGAACGGGGAGGGGGAAATGGGGTGACTCGCCAGGGAAACACATTTCCAGCGATATCAGTGATGGGGGAGATCTGCTCTTTGGACTCTTGTGTCAGGCTGACAGAACCAGACTATGCAAACTAGTGGGAGAGACTGGTTTGGGAGCGTCTGGGCGCTGTAACCTTATCGATGCACTTTCCTCCCGGTTATAAACCACCTTTCTTCCTCTTTCTTTTGGAATGCAGGATTTACAGTGTTTACGTCCACCCTTTCCAAGTTCTGCAACTGCGGACAATTATGTTTTTGCCCGTCTTGCCTTCCCCAAGCACCTTGGATTCAGCGAGGAAGTAAGAAGCAGAGTCTGCGCCTCAGAACACGCCTTGACCTAACTTATTCGGGAGAAGGCTCTTCTCCCCTGTATCAGTAGGTTGATATTTATGTGGAAGTGCCTCTGGACATTCATTTAGGGCGTCAGGGCTCAGTTTGGGGTTTTGTGTTTTTTATTTTATTTAAGATTCTTATTTTTTACACTCAAATTGTTAAAAGGAACGGAAATGACTATTCGCTTAGGAGCTTTCCCAGGGTTGCCCGCTCCGGGCGTCAGTAAAATGTTAGTCCACTTTTAATGTTTTCATTAGGTCCATCATTTCTAAAGCTAGGAGCGTTTTTAGACTAAATCCTGGAGTAACTTTGCTGCCCGTGAGGGTGAGAAGCAGAGAGAGCTGCCTGGACCCCTGGGTGTTTGCTGCTCTGCTGGTTGTTCTTCTCATGCTTCCTTTTTGGCTGTACCGGGTCAGGGTTTCTGTGCAGCCCCCCCGGAGCACACCGAGCAGCCCCAGGTGTGTGTGTGTGTGTGTCTGAGAGATTGGCAGCAGAATTGAGACAACGGGGGGGAGCATCTCCATCTCTGGTCTGGATGATGATCTGTGTGAGGTCCCACCTAGCTCATGGGCGCTTTGACTGCACGCTGTGCTTTCAGCCACCCCAACCAAGTGACAGCTGAGGATGATAATCCCAGCTGAACTCTTTGAGCTGGACCCCTCCAAGCTTGATGCAGCTCTGCCCTTACCTTGCTGCATCACCTCTTTATTTAATCCCCCCCCTGCAACTATACCACAAGGCAAGCATTGTGTCTGCTGAGTTAAGGGTGTTGTAGGAGCGTTTGTGACTTGACCAGTGCCATGAAGATGAGTGTGTCACCATGTGGAGCGTTCCAGCTCTGTCGATGAGTCTCAACTTGTGACTGCCAGTGCTTCCTGCTGTTCCAGCCCTAAGGCCTGACAATAGTCCTGCCAAAGAACCCTGTCCTGCAGGATTCATCAGTCTCTGAAAGCGCGCTCTGTGGGGAGCCTTGGGTCTGAGAACCAGTGCCTGAACCTCCAGAGCTTGTGTGGAACTGAAGCTGAGGTCCTCCTGGGTCTGAGGGACAGTGCCTGAACCTCCAGAGTTTGTGTGGGGCTGATGCTGAGGTCCTCCTGGGTCTGGGGAACAGTGCCTGAACCTCCAGAACTTGTGTGGAGCTGAAGCTGAGGTCCTCCTGGGTCTGAGGAACAGTGCCTGAACCTCCAGAGCTTGTGTGGAGCTGAAGCTGAGGTCCTCCTGGGTCTGAGGAACAGTGCCTGAACCTCCAGAGCTTGTGTGGAACTGAAGCTGAGGTCCTCCTGGGTCTGAGGGACAGTGCCTGAACCTCCAGAGCTTGTGTGGGGCTGAAGCTGAGGTCCTCCTGGGTCTGAGGGACAGTGTCTGAACCTCCAGAGCTTGTGTGGGGCTGAAGCTGAGGTCCTCCTGGGTCTCTGGGACTGCATGGACTTGCTGTGTGGTTGGGTTATTAGTGCCTGGAGTTGCCAGCTGCAAGTGTTGAGCAGAAGGGGTTGAACAAAAGCACAATGACATACCTTGGCTGTATTTCCTGGCTGGTCTTTCTGGTCCCTTGTCACAGGGACAGGAGAACTGTTTATTTTTATTGCACTTTTAATAAATGTTGAATATTCTCACGGCTTTTTATTTTTTTCCTCCTTTCTTTTTAAGTAGTTTGATTTTGGGGAAGGGACTGACAGCGTGGACAGTGGGGCATCCTGAATGTCGCCCATGGGGAAATGCTGCTGGTCAGGGCTCTGTTGTCGTTTGATTTGAAACTTCCCTGTGACTATGTGTAAGTGAGAGGTTCGGCTGCCTCTGAGCTAAATCTTCAACCTTTGTTTCCAAGTATGTGATGAGAAGGGGAAGTGTGGAGGGACAGTCCCCCTAAGGATGCCGTGACAGACTACTAGGAACAGCTGGAACTGTAAGAACATCTCTGTGGCCCCTTTGCCACCATAACAATAGATTTCTATTTTTTTTTAAATGAGGCTGAAGATGTTATTTCCCTCTCCCCTGCCCTCAGGTCTCATCAGTGGGACTTGAATGATAACAAATGACAATGACAAAGCACTTCATCTCTACTAGTGCCTGCGTGCTGGGCTCAGCCCCAAACACACCTTGGGCACAATGGAAGTGCCTTCTCTGCCTTAAGTCTTGGTGAGTCACTTTTTTCCAAGAATGCACTGGAATTGCCCCAAACACACCTTGGGCACAATGGAAGTGCCTTCTCTGCCTTAAGTCTTGGTGAGTCACTTTTTTCCAAGAATGCACTGGAATTGGTGCTGTGAAGACACCCTTTCGGGGGGGAACGGGGCAGGATGATACAAGTGAGAAACTGGAATTAGCCCAAGGAGTTTGGCAGAGTTTGTCACAGGAGTTTGTCACGGTGCCTGGAGTCGTTTCTGCAGACGCGTGGCTGGCACAGATAATACCAGCCTCCAGCTCAACCACAAAGGTGTTGCAGATACAGCACGCTGGCAGCAGCTTTCCACAGAAGCTTTGCATAGCAACAGACTTGAGATACTTCTGCCATTGCTTCAGCCTTTTTTTTATTTCCAATTAGATTTTCTGGGAGAGGGAGGCTGGAAGTGTCTTTCAGCCAGGCGGGAGAAAGCACGAGATGAGCAATCTTTGCAGCTTCTAGTTTTTCAGGTGAAATCAGGTAAAGACAGAGAGAAGTGACACCTGGGACAACACCGTAAGTATGAATTTATGGCATAAAGCCATCCAGGTGTGCGGGATTGTCCAGCACTGGGACAGCTTTAGAAAGCACGAGATGAGCAATCTTTGCAGCTTCTGGTTTTTTGGGTGAAATCAGGTAAAGACAGAGGGAAGTGGCACCTGGGACAACACCGTAAGTATGAATTTATGGCATAAAGCCATCCAGGTGTGCGGGATTGTCCAGCACTGGGACAGCTTTCCACGGGCCAGAGGACAGACGTGCTGCCTATTGAGCAGCTACTGCTGTCTGGGAACGCAGCTGGAAGTGAACCCCTCCAACCCCAAGTGAGAAGGGAAACGGGCAGTAATTGCTACAAATTGACACCTTGCGTTTGTATAAAACATAATTTAATACATACACGTATGGTGCTTGCATACAATACTGTCTTACATCCACGTGTTTGAATAGAAAACATTTAATTGTAAGCCGCCTTCAGCATGAAGACTTCTGTTTAATCACTGTCAGAAGATCACTGCGTTAAATAAAAATAGAGTGTAAGCAACTGGCCTGTGTCTTAATACTGACACATTTGAAGATTAGGAGGGTAAAGATGTCAAAAGCTGGAACTTTTATCATTTTGGCAACGGTTTGCCTGTGACAAGTATGAATGGAGGTCCCTGATGAGGTCACTTAAAGGCAGAGTTACGTCGCTGTGTGTGCCAGCGTGTCTGACAGAACTCACCCCCTGTGTTCAGAATCACTTTCCAGGTAAGGGATGAGTGATTTTTAAGCATCATCTTAGGTAAAAAAACGAGTAGAATGGCTCCTCTGTTCTGTCCAAAAGCTGGTCAGGGTGGTAACACCGCTCAGAAGGTGGGCAGCAGTGACAGATCCGGGCTTGGTCAGCAGGAGGCAGCATTTACACCTCCAGCATTGACTAAAGGTTTCAAACTTGTGGAACAAGGGTAATTTTCATCTCTTTATACGACTTTGACATGTTTTTACCCTCCCAATCCCAGCTCCTCTTAGGAATAATCATGTAGATCCTTCAGTTTGCAAAAACAGCCCTTTATTCCCTAAGGGGAGTTAGAGGAACTGTACCCACTGTCATCTGGTGTCTGGCCCAAGCAGTCCTAAAAACCCTGTCTGCTGCTTTCAGAGCTCTTGGTTTCCATGGAGAGTTTGGCAGCAGGATCCTGAGGCAGCTCCTTGGAGCACTCCTGGGCTGGAGACAGCTTGGCAGACTTCAACTTCAGCAACTTCAGCAGAGCTCCTGGAGGTGGATATGGGTGTCAGAAGTTGTAGGCAACAGGAGGAGTGTGGGGAGTGGACCAGGGGGTCTGCCAGCAAACCGAGGAATGTCATCAGGGCAGCAGGTCCTGCTCCTGCCTCCCCCATGTGCTGTGGGGAGGGATCCAGCAGCCTCACTAGATGGGAGCAAGGGGCTGACCTTGCTGCTGCTACTGGAAAGGGAGTTGTGTCACAGGAGCTGCTGTGGTGGTGTGTTTAGGGGGCAGGTACTCCGGCCTGCTCATTGCAACAGTCCTTGTGAAGCAGCGGAGGTTCCCCGTCTTCAGGGCGCACTGGACCGGCCACAGGATGATGCAGAAGAGGATGATGATCAAGGCCGAGAGGAGGACTATGCGTTTCCAGTCGTCGCACATGTCGCAGCGGGACAGCCTCCCAGCTAACCCCGTCGGGGGGGCCTCCGGACTCTCTGGCTTGCTCATGGCAACGTCGATGGAGATACACGAGTCTGGATTCTCAGGGTCATCAGATGACTGGCGGCAGCAGAGCTTGGTCCCTTCCATCCAGAGCACCTTCTCCTGCTGGAGTTCAGGAGGCAGCGTGGCAAGGAGCTCCTTGCTGGTCTGGAGTGCTGGGACGCCTTCCTGAGGGATACTGGTCAGCTGCCTGCAGAAGGGGCAGGGGAGCTGGTCCTCTGGGTGGTTTGGGGGCAGCCCCTTGCTCAGGCGGGCCACGCACTCCAGGCAGAAAACATGGGAGCACTGGAGCAGCTTGGGCGTCTTGAAGGTGTTGTCATAGGTGTTGAAGCAAATGGAGCACTCAACGGGGGAGGTTGGCTTCGGAGACGTCGGGTTCGGAGAACCTGGCTTGTCAGTTGGGGACCTTGGCTTCCTCTTGCCATCTCCCGGGGAGGTGACGACAATGGGGCTGATGGGGATGGGGATTTCACTGGGAGAGGCAGGGACTGGGCTGGTGGGAGAGTCTGGCGTGTTGGAGTGCCACAGATGCGTGAAGCACGACATGACGGAGCCCGAGGAAATAAAGAGAGCCCTGGGAGACTCTAGAAGAGAAGAAAACCATAGCCTTCATTTTAGACAATGTGAGGACACCCATCACCAGACCTGGTTTTAACCCCTTAAAAGGAACAAAGAGCAAGTTCGTGATTTCCACTGCATCCTGAGGCTGGAGTAGATCCCTGCTAGAGGTGAGAATGACACAGGTAGCCTGTTCAAAGCTGCGTACCAAAGGTGAAGTCCTGCAAAGAAGCAAGCAACCAGCAGAGGTCCACCATCCAGCCAAAGCCTGTTCACCAAAACCACCATGGCATTATAGATGGGTGCAGTCTTCCCCCCTACATGCCTCCCTCTGGGCAGAAAAAACACAACAACAACCTACCCCGGGTGGTGCTCCCCGACACCTGAGCAGGGAGGAGAGCAGAAGACTCCATGAGGTCAAGTAGGGACCTCGCTATGGCAGTCTATTAGTCTGGGAGGCACTCAGATATTATGGTGGCAGCATGGGCAAGGCCTAAGAGACAGATAACACTATTCAGTTGTGGAGGCAGCAGGAGCAGGGGGGTGAATCTCTTCTCTCTGGTGGGCCTCAGACAGAGCTTTGTGCCTCGAGTGGTGGTTCTGCATGCTGCCTAGCAGGCAAGGGAGGCACCACCCAATGATGCCGCCTGGTTTTGTCTATCCACAGGCAGACACGTCGCAGGAGAAGCCAAGGGAGGTGAGGAGACACTGTTAGCTCACAAAGTCTGTTCCATCCTCAACCCCAAGCAGCACAAGAAGCAGCTCTGGCTTGTCACCGTGACGCAGCAAGAAAAGCAATGTTGGAGGAAATGGCCTTGGTGCCAGAGCAAGGGGAATTCTCCGCTGCTTCCTTGTCGCTCTGCTTTCCCTATGGAAACGCAGTTCTTCCCTGTCTGCAGCCCTGGAGGGGAGCCAGCACGGCCCCAGCCTTGCTGTGTGCTCTCTGCTTTGTTGTGATGTGCGAGCAGGAACCCCCAGCTCTTGAATGGCCAATACGCCAGTTCTAGGAAATGGGTTTACAACTTAACTCCAGCTTTATCAGCAGCCTATATCACCCTGAATTCCAGTTATCCTGGGCTAGACACACAGCTGCGCAGACATTCTGATATTCAGATAGGTGACTTTTCAGCTATTGAGTACTTTTACCTGTAAGCAAGTGTTTAGCTGGAGGAAATTCCCAGCACCGATGGCGGTGACGCCGTATGCCTGGGGAACATTTTTTTAGGCTGTGTCACTGAACTAGCTGGGCTTGATTCTTTGTGTTGGGAGATTTACCCATGACAAGCCAGAAAAATCAGATTGCTGCTGTAATTATAGGTCTCCGGTCAATCCAGCAATGGCTCACCAGCATGGGCTAGAGACTCAGCATAAAAGCTAACTTAAAGTATCAGAAAGACCACGTATTCCTCACATTGCACAAAAAAAGTCTCCATTATTTAATAATGAAGTATTCTCTCCCATCACAGCTAGCATTGCCAGCCCTGAAACAGACTTTAGAGAACCTTCTTTCTTCTTCTTTTCTCATTCTAAATTAAGACATTTTTGTGAAGCCCCTCCTCAAGTTAAATTTTTAGTCACAGACTAATCTGTACTTTTCAGCAAGTTGCAATGTTTCTTTAATGTGTTTTTTTTCTGGCTACAGATCTCCATGCATGTTTTAGCACAATCTGGCAGACGCTGATGAATTACAAATCCAAACCCATATTGGCAGAGAGATGAGGGAAACCTCTGTTGCTTTTTGGTTTGGTTTCTTTTTTTTACTAAATCTTCTGTTTTGCAGAACTCCATCCCCTACGTCCAGTTCTTTGTGTCCCTCAGCTTGGAGTGTTTGTCAAAAATTACGAGCAGCAAAACCAGTGGCAGAAGGTAACCTCAGAGAGAGAGCCTTTGCTTACGCAAACTGTAATTTCACAACCTATGTGTAAAAGCTGTTCTGTTGGGGTTTTTACTAGTTTGCCGTATGACAGCTGTAACAACAGCAGTATCTTGATAGTAAACTCGAGGAAGTGTACCCACAACAGTTGCTTTTAAATGCAGATACAAGCTTTTGCCCGCATTTCCCCGTTGCTAAAGCTGATCCTGACACTATAGATGCTCGTTGGTTTTAATAAATTTAAAGTCTACGTATTTTTATCAACATCTTGTACGTTGATCAGACATGATGCAGGTAGTTGACTTAAACTGGGAAGATATAAAGAGTAGGGCACGGAGCCAAGGCATGGGAAAAACAGTTTTAATTCATAATCACCACCCCAGCAAGGTCATCCTCTGCCTGCTCCTTGTGCCTTTTGCTGTGTTGCCGTAGAAAAACAGTTTTAATTCATAATCACCACCCCAGCAAGGTCAGCCTCTGCCTGCTCCTTGTGCCTTTTGAGCTGATGCTCAGAAAGTTAAATTGGGTTTGGGCAGCAGCTAATGCAGCAACCAGGAGTTCTCCTGAGTATTACTGCAGTACCACTAAATTAGAGCCCGTCACTAAAGCTGGAGAGTCCCAATGAAGACAAGCAGTGTGGAATCTCAACAAAATCAGGTACTTAAAGTATCAGAAAGACCACGTATTCCTCACATTGCACAAAAAAAGTCTCCATTATTTAATAATGAAGTATTCTCTCCCATCACAGCTAGCATTGCCAGCCCTGAAACAGACTTTAGAGAACCTTCTTTCTTCTTCTTTTCTCATTCTAAATTAAGACATTTTTGTGAAGCCCCTCCTCAAGTTAAATTTTTAGTCACAGACTAATCTGTACTTTTCAGCAAGTTGCAATGTTTCTTTAATGTGTTTTTTTTCTGGCTACAGATCTCCATGCATGTTTTAGCACAATCTGGCAGACGCTGATGAATTACAAATCCAAACCCATATTGGCAGAGAGATGAGGGAAACCTCTGTTGCTTTTTGGTTTGGTTTCTTTTTTTTACTAAATCTTCTGTTTTGCAGAACTCCATCCCCTACGTCCAGTTCTTTGTGTCCCTCAGCTTGGAGTGTTTGTCAAAAATTACGAGCAGCAAAACCAGTGGCAGAAGGTAACCTCAGAGAGAGAGCCTTTGCTTACGCAAACTGTAATTTCACAACCTATGTGTAAAAGCTGTTCTGTTGGGGTTTTTACTAGTTTGCCGTATGACAGCTGTAACAACAGCAGTATCTTGATAGTAAACTCGAGGAAGTGTACCCACAACAGTTGCTTTTAAATGCAGATACAAGCTTTTGCCCGCATTTCCCCGTTGCTAAAGCTGATCCTGACACTATAGATGCTCGTTAGTTTTAATAAATTTAAAGTCTACTTCTTTTTATCAACATCTTGTACGTTGATCAGACATGATGCAGGTAGTTGACTTAAACTGGGAAGATATAAAGAGTAGGGCACAGAGCCAAGGCATGGGAAAAACAGTTTTAATTCATAATCACCACCCCAGCAAGGTCATCCTCTGCCTGCTCCTTGTGCCTTTTGCTGTGTTGCCGTAGAGCTGATGCTCAGAAAGTTAAATTGGGTTTGGGCAGCAGCTAATGCAGCAACCAGGAGTTCTCCTGAGTATTACTGCAGTACCACTAAATTAGAGCCCGTCACTAAAGCTGGAGAGTCCCAATGAAGACAAGCAGTGTGGAATCTCAACAAAATCAGGTAAAGTTTGGGGGTTTTGTTTGTTTTTCTGTTGTTGTTTTGACTACACAATCACATGATTTTTATGTTTTTTAAATACAAGACAATATATTCAATTGTTCAGACCTCCACAGTCACACTGCATTTCCTCAGACCCTGCAGCTATTTACCTTACTTCCCCAGCTATTTATCTGGGCTTTCCAGAAACTTTGGGAACATCGGTAAATAACTGAACCATTCAGGAGAGACACATAAAACTCAGATTTAAAACTAAGTAGTTAAGTACTTTCTACTTCCCCAACAAGTTCTAGAAAACTTCTTTCCACACCATAAAACCAGACAGAAGAGCACACACGGTTAAGATAGTGTTCTGTAATATGGTTCCCTAATGGTATCTTGAACTCGCAACAACTGAATACACAGCAAGTTAAGAGGTGTACAGCAGATTAAAGTCTATAAATACCTGTTCAGAGTGCTGTTTAGAAGGAGGAAAGCATGTTCTGGGCTCTTGATTTCTACCCCTGAAGAGTCTTCTCTCCAGAGGGACAGCCTTAGGCTCGGGGTGTTTTGTATTTATAAGCTGCCTTCTTGGTATTCCAGCTTCCCGGTAGCTTCCCGAGTCGTTTCCAAGCACGGTAGGGCTGGCAAAGACAAGTAACCTCTAACAGCTCCCTGCCAACAAGTGGCCCTGCCGCTGTAATTCAAGTATCTTTTATACCTTCCTGTCTGGAGGTGACTTACCTGCTCCACCTGCCTTTCCCCATCACCACTGAATCACTCCATTGGCTGCGAGCGCTCCCGCTCCGGCCGGTTCCTATGACAAACAGGACAGGCTGGAATGCTCCTGATAAGGGGCAGCCCTGGGAGGACACCCTGCCTGTGCCTGCCCCGGGGAAGAAGTGGGAGAAATGTTTATTCCTGCATCTTCTCCAGACTGGGGAAAGCCGCCTGCTTTCTGGTAAATTCTGGTAGTTCTTTGACTAGCTTTGGGGTTTTCTTCATCGCTCTTCATGAGCTGGTCCAGCCTGTGTAGATGTACTGGGTACGTCTTGACAGGGCAGCAAATCTTCTCAAAGAAAATTTGAGGACACGTAAAAATAGCAGTTATTTTTCTCTTGTTTATTCATGAAAGACATATAATTTCAAAGCGCCTCAGATTAACAGCAGAAACAAGAGCCTGACAGTCAAATTTCTTGCAATCGGTTAAAAAAAAAGTTGAAATAGAAAAATCTAGTATAAGTTTGAAAGCCCAAAAGCTGTTTATAAATCGATCGAACCACTCTATACAATCATATGTCTGCTCCAAGCTCCTATACAGTTCAAAATAATATTGTGTGGATTGTCACAGAGAAGGAATTTAATTCTTTGCAGCTTTTGGTAGTAATTGACATAGAGAAATATTATTTGACCTGCAAACCTTTTGTAGTTCAAAGGACATCAGTCAATGATCCAGAAAAAAAAACCCTAATAAATTTACACTCATGTGCAGATAAGAAAATAAGTGTGTGTGTGTGCTGGTGGGTGGAAGTAACAGACAAACATTTGAAATTTAGTCTACTTCTAATTTTTTTGCAAATACTACTTTCTTTGTTCAGTTTCTCAAAAAAACCAGCATGAGATGGTATGTGGATTTTTTTCAGGATGGCATCAGTAAGTCCCGTCTTAAAAAAGGGTTGAGAAACTTCAATCAAAATATATATAGAACTGTATTCACTTCTTGGGACAGAGAAGTGTCTAAAGCCCATAGACTTTAGGGGGAGTCAGATACAACTCATTTTGGCTTCCACATTTCTCTTTCAGGTCACTCTTCACTTCAACGTGCTCTTACTGAAGCATGTTGAAATTCCTAATGTTTTCAATCAGTTTTAGGATTAAAACTAAGGTTACCTGATCCTTCCATAGCTAGAAGGACCTGGTCTAGAGCATTGTTCCTCCCACAGATTCACCATGGGTGACTCTAGAAGACAAGCACCTCAATGGAGAATGTAAGTTAAGACTAAACTTTCCCAGATTTGCCTCAAAATGGTATAGCAGCACGTATATACCATAGGAATAACAATCCATACCCTAGGCTGAGCACACAATACCAGCACGCTCTACTCCCCCAGCTATTTATGTTGCTGTGCAGGGATGAGTGAGGCTGGGAGCAAACACCGTTCAGGGCTGACAAAGCAGGATGTCTGATGAATGGATGTAAATCATATTTTTAAAAGTCTTGCTCACTTAGTCACTTACTTAAGCACTTTGGTAAACTGGGCTCAAAATTAACAACATTTCAGTAACATATCGGGTTATGTTACATTCAGTAACACACCGAGGAACAAAAGTCCTTGGTTTGGGTCTAGCTGAGACCCTCTCCCCTGGTAGTCAGTGGAGCAACACTGATTTGCTTTTTGATCCTGCTCTAAAGACAGACACAGGGACATTTTAAGCCCTTTATCCACTGACAAGACCGGGATTTCTGACCTGCAGCATAACCAGAGTAATGCCATTTCAGAGTTTCAGTGTTTCTGAGGCTGGTTTCCCTCAACGTGACTTGAGTCCAACCCAGAAGCCAAGAGCCTGGGGCAAACTGGACCGCCCCATGCGTGCCTGCACACTCCTCCCTCTGCAAGGACACACACAGCGTGCCGAGACCCAGCACCCTACAGGGATGATGGTGAGGGCTTGGCTTCCAAAAGTGAGTGGGAGGCTTGCTGTTATTTTTATCTTCTGCTCGGAGGAGTTGACTGAGCATGTCAGGAGCTGCAGCTGGTCTTGGGTGGATCCCAGAGGACTGGGAGCAATCTGTTGTGGGAGCACATACTGTCGTGTTGGCACTTAAAGCAGCAGTGGTACCAAGTAGAAACTGTTGCCTTGTAAGACTGTTATTTCCTTGCACACCTCAGGTGGTTCTCAAAGTATTCCCTGTGTAGAAGTGTAGGGGTGTGCAAACAGCAGTCTGAAAATACTTGGTTTAAATTGATTTTTGCTAAGCCATGCAGGAACGAAGGTGATGTGACTGGAGCACTGGGATGAAATGCAGGAGACACATATCTCTGGTTACAAGCGCTGTCACCTTGAGCAAAACACTTAATTCCCATGGACTTCTGTGGCTCATTTCCTAAATGAATAAACAATTAGACAAATGAAATAAAATTAAGAAAAGGAATTGTAAGCTTTCCTTTTTGGTCATAGTCATCGCCTGGATTGGGTATGTAGATGGGAACCTGGGAGGGATGGGTGTTGCCTACCAGACAGGGCTGGTCACAGAAGCTCCAGCCACAGGCTTGATGTAGGATCCCACCTGCAGGGAATAACTGTGATTGAAGTATCCAAGCCTTCAGTTGTCAGATCCTTCCCACTGTTACCTCTCCTTATTTCACCAGCATCAGTAGCCGCTGCCATCTCATGCAGGACTGTGGGTGAAATGCTGAGATCTTCTGAAGGGTATGTATTCTTTTCAGGGGGAATTTAGGAAGGTTTGTAATGAAAAAGATTATTTCTAACAGCAGCTACCAACTGGTTGAGGACATGACCATTTAAAAACTCACAAGCCAGGCTCCTTAGTGTGAAAAGAAGCAAAGCATACTGCAGAGTAAGAAAAACAGACTGCTGATTATAGCTTTAGGCTGTTTTCTTGGCTTGTCTTTACCTCTACCACTGCCCAAGTATATAACTCTCCTCATTCTTTGTGTAGTTCATCTCAGTAGGTAAACTAAAGCCACTGAATAAAGATGGGTGGGGGAAAAAAAATCAAAATCAAAACCCACCAAGCAATGAGCAACAAGCTTCCTCTGATCTCTCTCCCCCTTCATCCAAGGCTAGCTAGTTTCTCATTATTATATACCACTCAGCAGTTCTGGGGGTGCTACCTTTTTGTTCATGTTTTAGGTGTTGTTTACAGGTCTCATTTGTTGGGCTACATCCTGAGGCCGTGTTCTCCGCGGGGTTAAACGCTTACAGCAGGAGGATGCTACTGAGACTACATTCTCTATTAGCTCACACCTTCATGTGCCTGCTCCCGAGCTACTGAATGCCAGCGAAAATATATATACACACGCAGAGCTTCTGTGATGGTTGGCACAGGTCCAGCTCGGTAGCTGAGCTCTCCACCTTACGCCGTTATCATCTGTTATTCAGATGCAGAAGAAGTGGTGAGACCCAGCACTGCCTGCTTTTTCCTGGCAGACAATTCCTTGGCCTCAAGCTAGCATTGCTTTTTTTGATCCCACGGTGTTCCTCAGAGTCAAGAAGGCCTGGTGCTCTATGCAATTAATGCTCCAGGGTGGTAAACAGCACTATTAAGTGCTGTTTTCCCATGCTAACTCATGGAGCTCTTTTATTTGTCTGGCTTCACGTGCAGCTAGCTGAAGTCTTATCATTGCTGCAGTAGTTTGCACCTACAGCTAGACTGGGCTATTTAAATTCCAAAGTATATATTATGTACTGTCAGGAAAGAGCCTTGGTGAATCATCCGATAAGCTACACGAGAACTCACTGTGGGATACTTTTAATATAATTATATTTTATCCTTCTGTAACTGTTTCTACCAGGCAATCTCAAGACACTTCACAGACGTAGTGAACTGAGCCTTCCAATAACGATGTTTATCAAGGATGTTATCTCATTTTACAGCTGAGGAAGTTTTGCAGTGCACGAGAAGCCCAGACAACATTGAGAAATGCTGCTGTGACCCCTGGGCAAGCAGCAACCCCTGGACAAGCTGTGCCCCTTGGCACTGCAGAGGGACCTGCCAGGGCAGAGGAATAAGACTCTATAAACAGGTGGTGGAGTGGGAAACACCATCAAAATTGTGCATTACTGATAAATGCCCTCTAAGTTAGCTTGATACAGATTTAGAGGAAAAACTGCTTCTGTTAGCCAGAGCCACAGATTGTGTCCCTCGGGTGGTTCCTGTCCTCTAAGTGGTGCCCATCTTTACTGACAGGCCAAGCCCAAGCTCTGGAACCATGTGCTTCTGTAGTTTAATCTCATTCAAACGCTGGATCCACCTTGCACCTCACTTGGTGCTGCTCTTCGTTTCCTGTAGTCACCAGGAAAGCACCACGGTTAGATAATCATTACAAGGTACAGATGCAACATAGCAATTTTCCTGATACTCTATAACTCATGTGACTATTACTCTTGGGTGGCTCGGGGCTGGATGATTCAGCCACTCGCGGGCAGATTCTCAAATAGCAAGGATAGCATCCATTCCCTGGACATAAGGTCAGGTCTTTTTTTCTAGCCCATTATTTCTGAAGGAGTTAAGTGGCTTGGACCCATGGCTAAACTGTGGTCTATCAATCATTGGTGATCCCTGACACCACGCCTAGGAGGCTGTTGGCTTTCCAAATGTCTAGGCTGATTCTGTAGTGGCTTGCAAGGAAAGTTAGATATAAACAGTCATAAACAGTGGCTCAAAGGAAGAGTAAATCCCACCAGAATTAAGGTCCTTGGAAGTATCCAGTAAGATACTTCCAAGAGAAGAGTTGCAGCTCTTTCAGTTTAGGTGATATCCACAACGGGGCTTGTGAAAGGAGTGGGACTGGTTGAAGGGTTGTCAGATGTTCCCAAGAACTGCAGCACCAGCTCCTTTTGATGCTGTAAGTGGCTCAAGTGCAGCTGGAGTAGAGACACAGCACACGTAGAGTGCACAGGCCCCAAAGTAATTCCTCTCCTGAAAC